AACCTATCGACTTATGGTGACCCTAGGAATGAGTGTTCTCCAAAACGCCCTTTTCTCAACAGCCCTGCACAGCTCCTTCGGCTTCCTTTAGCGAGTCAGCCCATCTCAAATTTGGTCTTCCACTTTTTCCACTGCCTTCCATCTTTGCCAGCATTATTGTCTTTTCCAGAGAATCCTTCCTTCTCATTATGTGCCCAAAGTAAGACAGCAAACCTTTACCTGTGTACTAACTCAGAACTTGGTTTCTATGCATGGATCATATTCTTTCTTTCTTTTCTATAAAGTGCTGGATAGCTCAGTGGCTTAAGTCTTTGGCTGTGGAATCAAAGGCTGGGAGTTCAGTTCCCCACTGTGCCTCCTTGACAGGGGCTGGGCCCTATGATTTCATAAAGCCCCTTCCAGCTCTGAAATTCTAGGATTATTGTTATCATAACTACCAGCAGTTGTCTGAGATAATTTTAGTGCATTATATCAATACAAGTGTCTTTGGGATCCTTATGTCAGTGTGAAACTAGACAAGGAGCCCTCAAAGAGTAGAGTAACCCAGGCCCTTGGACAATTCTTATTTATTTTTAATCCCATCTTTATACTTCCAGGACACATCTGTCTTCATGAAGATGTTGGATACACAGAAGAGTGAATGACCTGCAACTTAAAAAAATGTTTCAGAGAAGACAGAGAATTACATGATACAAATTTATTAACTGTTGTTTCTACCATGTTAAGAGAGCTTGGCACTTTTCTCTATGCTTCAGCAAAATGTTCCTCCTCCTGTACCTGTCTACTCAAGAAAAAAAGTCCTTCTAAATTTGATAGACATTTTCCCAGGACAAACATGCATAGCATTGCAGCCTAATTATACTGGAGATTTGCAATGGAAGAATAAGAAGGAAGAAATAAGCAACTGTTCAGAGAAAAAACAGGCATCCTACAGTTCAAACTCTTGCACAGTTTTATATTGGATTCAAATGGCAAATGAAAAGATATCAGTGAGGAGGATTGAACACTGGATATAATGAACATCTTAGTAAAGGCAGCAGAGTGAAGAGTTCATATTAAATTGCTGAGAAAGAAGCAAGTGTCTTGATGACCATAAATCATAATGCAAAGCTAGTTCCTTCTTGTTTGCTCCAAGGCTTGATTTGTCCACAAACCAAAGCTAGAACATCATTCCTTGACTCACAACACAGCGTTCATTTGCAATGTATCCCTATTTTATGTCCAACAAGGTGAAAAACCAAACAATTTAATCCATCTTTTAGGAACAGGTCAAATTATTTAATTGGCTTACATTAATATTGATCCAAAATTTACAGTGCGATGGATCATACACAACTTATTGCTGTGGCCGACAGCAGGTGAAAAGATCAATAACAGCATGGTACTAAGCATCTAGAACAAGAGGCAGTAATTCATGTCACTTTTTCAAGATACAGAGGCCTTTTATACCATCGATTTCCATTTTTCACCAGTGCATTTTACATCCAAAAAATACAGTTAAGTGCATTATTTTGTGCTTTGCTTTAATTCATTTGTTTTCTTCCTTGAATGCTTTCTAAAGGCTTTATAGGCATTGGAGTTACTATTGCTTTTCTATCTATCTATCTATCTATCTATCTATCTATCTATCTATCTATCTATCTATCTATCTATCTATCTATCTATCTATCTATCTATCTATCTATCTATCTATCTATCTATCTATCTATCTGTAGAAAGGAATATGTTTGTGGCACTAATGCTATCTTGCATGATTTGGCAAAAGTGAAAACTTGTATCAAGTGCTGGGGCGGCTGTATCATGACTCTTCTCTCTTTTTCTGATATTTGGGCTTGATCTGGGCACACACCGTCAGTCGTTGCCATTTGAATATGTGTCAAGAGCTACCACATGTTGGACTCGATGGCCTTATAGGCCCCCTTCAACTCCATTATTCTAGGATTGCTCTCCACTGTTTCTCAGACGAAGCTGTTACTTCTCTTCAGCTGACACTTCTAAGGCCTACCAGTTGTGAGCCTTAGTTCTAAATAATAAGATTTAGTTTAGGAAAATAAAACCTTGGCTGAAGTTTTCAGTTCTGTTTGCAAAGTATGACATCTGCCCTCCCTTCACTAGATTCACAGGAATTCTGTGTGGACGATATGAACATCCCAGCTTCAAAACCCATGTGCTCCAGCATGAAACCCAAATGAAACTGGGGGGGGGGGAGCCAAACCCAGAAAAGAATAGATGGTAGCATTGTGTTTTGCGAGTATTCTAATAATATACAACAGGAAACATATGATCCATATGTCCCATTCAAGAGAGACCTACACTCAGTGGACTGTGCTTCCAAATGTGTCCCAACAAGGTAACATCCTTAATATAGCTACAGAATAGGGATCAATTTTACTGTGACGCAAGTGATATGCTAGCTTTTATTTCTTGAGGTGAAATACTCCAGAACGTGAACCCCAGAAGGTTCTCTCCACTGAGATAGATTCATGATTCTCATTTCTGCTTTATCATGAGGACTGTATAGATGCTACAATTCTGAAATCAAAGAATGGGCTCCTGGAGCAAAACTCGGCATTAAAAAACAAGCATGTTTCTTGCCCTATTTATGTAAATGAAGAGTTAAAAGTAGGTAAAGACAATACAGTACCTAATGGATTCCTAGTAATCCTAGTGGAATGGGGAGAAGGATTACATGTCCAGTGTCCTGGTGTAAAAAAAGAAATGTCTAAAAGGAGCAGAAATCGCACCTAACAAACCAATATGTGTTCTTGCTTCATGGGCAGAATTTACACTTCCTGGTGATATAAGAAAAACTTGCATAAACAAAGCAGATTTGCACACAGTACACCCAGCTTTAATTCTCTAATCACTTTTTTACTCTTTTGAGATGGAGGCCACTTGTGATGCTCAGGATATAGCCTTTGCTGAAGATGCCTATGGCTAACTGAATTAGAATTAGGACATGGTTTTCTCTTGGAAAAGTTACTTTTTTTGCATTGCAGCCCCCGAAATCTGCCACCAACATGGCTGGTAGTACTCATCTAGGGTCAATCAGAAAAAAATCACTACTGTTTGAGTTGCGACAGAGTTGCAAGGTATTAAGGTTAAAAAAAAGAGGTCATCCTGTTATGGGAAGTCAGAGTTCCTGCCTTTGACTACTTCTTTTCTGTCCAAATGGATCCTCAGAGAAAGTTGCAAAATAGGCAAATAGGTCCAGGATTTGCTCCCCTAGTGAGCCATGCAACTTTACTCAGAAGGGAGCATAATTCACTCTTCCTGGTTCTGAGGAAATTTTAATACCATGAAATGGTACATCACCTCTGTCCTCTTGAGACCTATCTACTAGCCATATTTCAATCATCCTTCCACATGCCAATATTCTGAAGACTTATCAGCTGCCTGTAGCCCATGTTTCCTGAGCAGGTATGGCACAGACCAAGAACCAGCAAGAAATATTGTCCAGGTGAACACAAGAATTGGAGTGGACGTTCTTGCTTTGTGAGAAGGATCTGCTCCTGCTGCCATTACCAACATTCCCCCACATCGCCCCCCAATTTCCCAAATCTTCTCTTTCGTCACATTTCAGTCAGTGCTAATTTGCAAAAACATTCGATAAATTTAAGGCACTTCATTCCGAATGAGATATGCTTCCCTGCCTTCTGCAAGTCAGTCGGGCAGAATGCCATGGTGGAAGCCAATCACTTAGTCACCTGATAAATCTACACAACCACAGTATAAAATATTTAGGCATGAGAACAACAACGCAAGTGTCACCACTGTTATTGCATAGGACTGCGCTGGAGTAGTTAATGCATGGAACATGCACTTGTGACAACACTGTTGCACGGTTAATGACGGCGACAATGTGGGGATCAAGTAAAAGTGACTTGCAGATACAGTCAATTTCCTTTCAACTTTGTCGTTGAAAAATGTAACAGCACTCTAAAGGATATAGAAGGATATGTTTTCAAGCACATTACTATTTTTCCTGTATCACTAAAAATAAATATGTTAAAGCTAGGATTCCCCCAGCTCCCCGGGATTTTGTTTTATACAGAGCTTCACTTTGTTGACTAGGCTAAATCAGTATTACAGTTTCAAGATCTGTCTGTATCAAAACATTTCTTCCAAGTGAGATGGCAATATATTAAAGAGTCACAAAACCACTCCTGCCAAGACAGAAACACCATCTTCCAGTGGGGTTGAAAATGTTAAAAAAGAAAAAAAGGTTCTGATAACCAGATATTTTCTTACAAATAAAACACACAAATGTACTTCAAATGCAGAATAAAATAAAGTAACTGAAAAATCCATGCAAATCAGATAACTGTACAATTCAATTAAAAAAAAGAAACCAATTGGTTGTGTCCAATTGGCAGAACATACAATGTTTTTGTTAACAGCTTGAAATATTCACCACCAGTCTTGCACTGGTGACATGTTAGTACAAATTTTTTGCAATGATTAAAAGTGATTTATTTTCTTTAAAAAACAGTGAAATAGTTTGAAGAGTGCCCATTTACTGGTGAACAAAATAAAAATAATACAAATTTAAATATCAAGGAATCGCTCTATGTCTCTCCCTCTGCCATTTCTAAGTCATACTTCAATCAAGATCACCATGAGTTAGATTCTGTACAGGTGGCCTGTATATGTATATATTATATATCTAATGTCATGAGAAAGATTAAATTGGATTAGCAGGTACTATAAGAGGCACTAATAAATCAAGACAAAAATAGTTTACAAAGCTAATTTGGTTTTGGTTTCTTTACATTCTTCTACTTTTCATTTCCAGGTCAATGGGTTTCATTACAGTTATACTGAAGCTTCACCTTTAGTGGATCATGGACTTGTAGATCTGTGGATCTCTATTGCTTTCAAGTAGACATGAACTCATCTGGAGTTCTCGGTGAATCTGGTTCACAGATGCAGGACAATACTTTGGAAGCATTGGTAATTTTAAAACTTTGTACAAGTCTCTTCAAAGGTTTTTTTTTAAAAAAAATCACATACACTGGGCTATCTGAAGATTTATATTAAAAGATAGTTAATAAGAAAAAACAGAGCAAATGACAGAATCTACTGATCAAGAAATGAAGAAGTTCATGAAAGGCCATCCTAAGTATCTCTACTAACAAGCATGGTCAGTATCTTCCATGCTCACGCTGCTCCTTCGGCTGCTTGTTTTTGAAGCCCCAGGAGACACCGAGGAAAGGAGTGGGTCAGTAACTCCAACAGGAGAGAGAGTATCGTCCATCAAGATGTCTTCCAGTTTGGATCCCATTTTTGTAGGGCCTGTGTAAGTGCCAGCAGCTGACTCAGTCACGTTTGCCAGGCTGTCATTGAAAGTGATGGTGCCATCTGTCAGGTCGAGAGTGGTTGTACAAGAAAGATCAGGGTGATGCGGTAAGACCTCTTGGCTGCAGTGGTCCAGGACGGGCTCTTGTTTGATAAGCCGGTTTACCATCTCCGGTGAGCAAAGGCCTGTAGACGGGATGATGGAAAGTCCATGCGCTCGAGCTTGCATTTCAAGTTCCTGTTGCAAGGACATATGAAACTGAGTAAGTGCATTTTTTTTAAAAAAAAATATATAGCTCCTAAATTATGAGCGGCAATTCCAGAAATTTACACTTTCCTACAAAATATACAATGGAAAAACTACACACCAGGAGCTTGCCTAATTTCAGCTGGTGAAATCATTTGACATGGTAGGTGCTACAACAGAGAAGGACCTCCGCTGTGACAGAGACCTTCCATGTCAACCATGTGGGGCTTTGCACTATGACCCTGTGACCAAAATCTTCTTGCATAGCTATGCAAATGGTGTAGGTTCTAGAGGTGAATTGCCCCAAGTTCAGAAATCCTGGTATACATTTTAAGTTGCATGCTGAATGATACAACTCATTGTGCAACTGATAATGTCTACTGGGCCCCGTGGTGCAGTGATTAAACTGTAGTACTGTAGCCAAAACTTTGCTCAAAACCTGGGTTCAATCCCAGATAACCACGTCAAGGTTCACTCAACCTTCCAGCCTTCTGAGCTTGGTAAATTGAGTAGCCAATTTGCAGAAGTGGGACAGGCTGGTGGCGGCAATGTGTAGTTCACAGAATTAAATTGTAAACCACCCAGAGAGTGCTTTAAGTGCTATGGTATATAAGCAGCACACTTTTACCATGATTTCTTAATTTCAGGGAATTCACCTGAAGCTGTACTGTTTGTGCTTCACCAGCATAAGAAAATAATGTGATTTGGGCCAGTGCATTAGACCTCTTCAGCACAGTGACCAAACAGATGTGGCTGTAAATTATTATATGGTAAGCAGAGTATTCTCCTTGGAGGACAAAATGATTAGGATGATCTAAATGGAAAAAAGCCATTTCTAAGATAACCTGTGAGTCCCTCAGAGATATAGACCATTACTAATAAGTCACTCTGGAACACAATAATATTGCAAGAGTCATCCATCCCTGAAGAACACTTGCTCATCCTGACAGGCTAGGAGGAGGTACTGCAACATTCTTCTCTTTTTCTGCACAAAATTTGCCCCAAACAGGATGAGTACATTTTAGACTAGTGGAAGTGAAAAACAAAACAAAGTAGGCACATTTATAACTTTTTGTTTTAAAGTAACCAACCAATCGTTCCACTGTATAACTGTGGTTTGCTTTTTAGGAAGAAAGGACTTGAGTTTTGCACATGTTTCGCACGAGAACTACCCTCCCCCCCACCTTTGTCTTGCTCTTGGATGGAGGTGAGAAATCCACCCCCCCAAGGTTTCAAAATCCTGAGCGTTGTGTCCTGTTGAGACAACCTACACTCCCAAAATTGGCGAATATTTTTCTTAACCCTGGAAACAACAATAGCAAGAATATGTAGCTCCACTGCATTCATATATTAATAGGGCAAACCTGTATTCTGAGCAAAAGGTGCCTGTTGGCATGTTCCAGTTTCTTTTGTCTGTTCTCCAGTTCTTTTGTACGCTGCTGTTCTCTTTGCAACTTGCGGATGTAATCCACAGAAGCCTTTAAAATAGTTCCCTTATTCCATCGCATATCCCTGCAAGATGAACGCAACTCATCAAGTCTGTAAAGAAACAGCAAAAGTTGGTGGAGAGGGGAGAGCGCAGAGCCCTTGAAATATGTCAACCATACTACAATATAACTTTATTGACTTAAATAAACATACACAATAAATTTACCACACTAGTGGTTATAACTTGCAGCTTAGTAGCTTGAAACAGAGAACTTGGTCAGCATCCTGTTGTTCAGCTCCACCTGCCCACGGGGAATGACCTCACATGTGCCTCATGATGGAAAAAAGGAATTATTTATAGCAAAGCAAAGCGTGCTGCTTATATACCGCCCCGTAGTGTTTCAAGCACTCTCTGGGCGGTTTACAAGTTAATTATGCAGGCTACACATTTAATGTCACTTTGACTGTGTAGGGGGAGCTACACAGCCGAACAATGGCCTTAGATTCTCAAATCTGGTTGCAGCACCCAGAAAGAAAATGAGAAAAATTTCAATCCTCGTTAAGGATCATCAAGAACTTCTGTGGAATCATCACTAACTACTACTCTGTTTTAAAGAACATATTATACTATTTTTCACTTGAGAAACTTTTAAAGCAGTTTACAACAACAACAAAACCTAGAAGAACAAGACAACAGGAAGTATTTGCCTAGGAAGTCAAATTTTGGGGACCGGGAAACACACAGTGCTGTCATAATACAAAGTGACATTGCGTTTTATGGGGCACTGGGGGTAAAACATAGGGATGCCCTTTAGTTGGCATTTCCATCGCCCTCTGCCATGCTTATTTCCCCCTTTACAAGTAAATATGATCACTCCATTTCCTAGATGGTTAGTGGGTCTTATGCAGTTGTAATCTATACTGCACAATTGCAGCAATGGGATGCTATTATTAAATGCCATGGATTGATCTAAATTTTCCTGAAATTTGCAGCTTGTTGAGGAACTTTGATTTCTGTTTGAAAGTTCTTGCATGCTCCCTGACCGATAGCAGTGAATTCTAAGTACTTCACAAAAATGCAAAAGTCATGACAGTGATAGCAGTATTTATCTGTTGTTGAATAACTAGTATAGATACATTATTTGTTTTGGTGTTAAAGGAGAAACTCTATTCTGGATGCTTCTTTTTGCTTAAAATACAAATCCAGGTTATGCTCAATAAGACCAAATGGCTTTCAAGTGAAAAAACAAAACTAAAAGTTTTAATAGACTGTGGCTACATATTCCTGTGTTACAACAATAATCCAATAATCTGTTTAAGGCAGCCTGTCCCAACGTGAATCCCCAGACTCAGCTTCCCTGTAGACTGTCTCAGTGTGGCAATGGTGAGGGCTAAAGGGAACTGTAGTCCAAAATAACTGAACAACACTGGGGATGTGTGTGAATGATGATGGCTTACAATGTTCTAACTAAACAGGATTATCAACTCACTTGACAAACAGAAGTCCTACTTCTATAAGAATAAGTCATTCCCAAATGGGGATGGTACTTACGGGTCATTTGACTTGGGTATCAAAGTGCCAAGTTCTTTTATGCGATCGTTGATATTGAATCGTCTTCTTCGTTCAACTTGTTAGGAAACCAATACAAGTTAGTAATCAGTGGTAACATGGGGAAGGAAGCATCAAGGTTGCAAATGCCTTGGCAAAGGGCAAAAGTTGCTTCTGCAGACCTGAAGGTCACTTTCAAGGATGAATTTAGACTTTGAGCCTCAGTTTTGAAAGGTAAGGAGCAGGTCATTTTTCTGCCTCTAAACCACAACATCTGGTGGAACTGCAAAAGGACAGGGCAAGTGTGGAAGAGGTCTCCTGCCTTGCCCTATTAAACATGTCTTTGGAGGAGAGGGAGTAGTCCCGTCCCCCCAATGCTATCCAGCCTTTGGATGTTAATAGGCTGTTTCAGATATTAATTGTTCTGTACTGTTGAATCAATAGGAAGGGTATGAAAAGAGACCCTTTGGAATTTATAGCATAGTTATTATCCCTGACTAGTTTATAATCTATGATCAAAATGGAAAAGACTTTCTTTGGTTTCCTTTGGTGTGGTACCCATTTATTTTATTTTATCACTAAGCCACACACTTCTTTTATGGTAAAGTTCAGAATTATTGAAAGAATTATTAAATTCTAAGATTAATTCAATCAAATTCTCCTTTGGAATATGTGACAATGAGATGAGACATCAGATTTTTCTTTAAGATAAACAGACACATGTGACAAAGCACATGGTGTAGCATCTGGATAGGAAAACTCAGTTGACAAGGTTGATTTATGACTTAAGTCTATGTTATCCCGTATCCCAATCAATCCGCCATTTTAATCTATCCCATTTGCAAATCGATCTACCTAAAAACAAACTTTAAAATGTGCCTTTCCTCCATAATATGCATCTCAAAACGTACTTATTCTCCACAAGCGCACTACTAAATATAAAAAGCAGCAAAGGGACTAACAGTCTTTATTTTGGGCACACCCTTTCACATTTATGGCAAATAAAAGCTGTTAGTCCTAAAGAGGTTGCAAGAGTCTTTGGCTGCAAGACATTCATGTGGCTACCTCCTTCAAAAAATGATGTGCCGGAGCATTTAGGATGCGTGAAAGTCAGGGGAGGACTAAGGGCTGATAAGCACAAATGTTCGGGACATGCCGATACTATATTTATTTATTTTATTTACGCATTTAGGATGCGTGAAAGTCAGGGGAGGGCTAAGGGCTGATTAGCACAAATGTTCGGGACATGCCAATACTATATGTGTATCTGCACTTTGAAGCATTTGCATTTGAAGTGCCGCCCACACTACCCAAAGGTCTCTGCATTTGAATCTCTTTGAAAAATAGAAGCCACGTAAAATGGGAAGAATTCTTATTTAAGTGTGGATGACTAGGCTAGTAGAAGAATATTTTATGCCCACCACTCTCCATGTTCATCCTTCCAGTACTGCCCCCACCAGAAAATGCTACAGACAGCCAGAGGACTCCTCTGAAAAGGGTAAGCTCTGTTGTACGAAAGAGGAGGAATCTCTGAAAATCAGGCAACATTACTTTCTGTGATCTGGGTCCTTTTGCTTGTGGAAAGGCGGTCTTATACCCAACCCCATATGCAGAAATCATTCCACTGTCTCAGATCTATTACACACAGATGTAGCTATTATTTTTGGCGCGTGCTCAATTTACTTCTATATGGACTTGTACAATTCAATAATCCTCTAGATGTAGCTATTATTATTGGTGCGTGCTCAATTTACTTCTATATGGACTTGTACAATTCAATAATCCTGCATTAATTATTGAACCTCCGGCCACTGAAAATTCAGGATTAAATAAAGAAAAACACAATCAAATCATAGGACACTTACTTAAATTGTGATTGTCTTTCTTTTGCCTCTCTTTGGCCAATGCTCTTGCCTCTGACTCTGTGGGAAATACACATGCTGAGCATGTTAATGAAGTAATTAGAATTAGATAAATATAGGCTAGGCAACAGTAGCAAAACAAAGATTCACACATCTACCTGCTATTCAACATGCACAGACACACCTGTGTACCATAAGCACACTATTCCCAAATGCTTTCTTGTGTAATAGTATTGCACGACATCACATAGTACCTTGTTGGCCTGATGCATCACAAATACCAGTGGAAGTTGCATGATTAACAAATCTGATCAATAAATTTTGACTATACTTTCAGGGCAGAAAATCAGGTCGAGGCAATGGTGTTGCTAGCAGCTATGTCTTTTCTCTCTTTTTGACTCCTAAGCAGAGATGGGCACTTAACATGGTTTGCTGCTTCGGCACAGTTCAACGGATTGGCCTCACAAGAGTTGCATCGCCCCCCCCCCCGATTCCTCACCCTGCCTCTTCCCGCGGGCACCCATTCACACACTGCTTCTGATAGGATGCTTGCAGGACACTGAAGCATTGTAACTGTCCATCTCTACTTTTGAGTTAGTGCATGGGGCTCCCAGATTCAGCCTGTGACCCTAGCATGAAGGCCGGTTTGAACCTTCCTCTCACTGGGGGTCCCATTCTAAATCAACTTTGCCTTTCTTGCAATTTATATTGCAAAATAATGAGCCAGGGGATTTCAGTGTCATCATGTTACCACTCAATACATTTATAATTCATAAATAACTGTCCAAGTGAATAATGCATCTGAAGTAATATGTTTACTTTAGGCAGCAGCTAGATTAGGTATCCCTGGTTGTAGCCTTGAGCCAATAGTAGGTTTCCTTCCATGGAATGATAAAGTGGTCATTTCTTCACCTCCCTTCAGCCCCTATCATGCTCTCAAAATTTATTCTCAAGGGTTTGGGGGATGTGGGTCCACATGGTGTATGTGGGTGTGGAGGTGAACCTGAGGATTGGGGAACTGAGGAAAGAAAGAAAATGTCGATTTGCATGAGGTTCCCCGGGTTCACCTACCCTCCCACACGCCTTGAGGATCCACATCCCCAAAGGCCCAAGAGGATCATGCAACTTTCCCTCAGAGACGTTACTCGGGAATCAAACGAGCACCAAATTCTTCTGATTATCTAAAATAAACCAAATGTGCGCTGTGCTACGTGTGGGGTATTTGCCTAGTTTACAAAGGCCAAGCACATCAGATGTATAGTACATCTTTTGTGTCAGCCATTCTTATGTTATATTCCAAGTTTGGGTTTATACTGGGGCCTTTATTAAGAAGACAAAATCATGAACAAATGCAGCATCTCTTGATGCTTCGTAAGACACAATGGTGCATTATCTTTGCCTACTCTATTTTTTGTTCATTAAAAAAAGGCAACTGCTATACATTGCTCTGCACTCATGAGTTGTCTGTCCAACTGGAGCTCTCCCCAATGTGACTAGCACAATGGACGTCCTCAGGGATCTTGACATTTCACTTTTCAGCAAATTAATTCCCCACCACCGCCCCAAGAACTCTATGTGAACTGCTTAGGGATATGGTCTCATTCTGAGCAGGAAAAGTGTGTACCTCATCCTTGAGCCACAGCCCCTACCATTTATAAATCAGTGAATCTTTGGAAACATGTGTCCAGGGCTTGAAAAGTTGTTTTCAAAACGGAATTTGTTATAAATAATTACAAAGTTTGCCAAAAGTGTAACCTCTTCGTGTTTTATACTGGTGGAAGAAACATCACAAATGTGGCTAGTTAACGTGTTTAAGTTGCATACCCTGTTTCCCAGAAAATAAGACCTAACCTGAAAATAAGCCCCAGTATGATTTTTCAGGATGCTTGTAATATAAGCCCTACCCCAAAAATAAATACCAGTTGTGAAACCCCACCCTCCACCATTGTGCAGCAACCAGAAGATGACATGACTGTATTAGAATAAACGTAGATTGTTGTACATGAAAAAATAAAATAAAACATCCCCTGAAAATAAGCCCTACTGCATTTTTGGAGCAAAAATTAATGTAAGATCCTGTCTTGTTTTCGAGGAAACACGGTATTATTTTTCCGTTAACTTTTCATTATGTTCTTTCCTTCAAATAATTCATCTAAAGGTAAGAAAAATGGTTTTTAAAACTTTGAAACCTCAGAATGCCCCAAGAAAGCCTTTATCTAAAAAAGGATTATGTAACTTTAATCTCTACATTGAAATGATCAAAAATGTCCAGGACTTTTTATAGCTTGGTTGAATCATCAATCAAAATAGAAACTGCTGCTAAGAAATCAGAACACTGAAAATGGGAAGGGTTGCTAGGTAAAAACCAGAAATGCTCTTTAAGTGTAAGGATCAGGATTATCCACAATATTGTATTCCCAATCACTATACAGTGATGTGAAAGCTGGACAATGAAAAAAGCTGACAGGGGGAAAACTGATTCATTCAAAATGTGGTGCTGGAGGAGAGCTTTATAGATATCATGAACCACCAGAAAGACAAGTACAGTAAGTGTGTTTTAGATCAAATCTATCCTGAACTCTCACTAGAAGGAAAAACTTCTAAAATGAAGGTATTCCGTTTTTGACACATCATGAACAAATGAAATGCACTAGTAATGCTAGGGAAAGTGGAGGATAGTGAGAAAACAGAAGATTAACATAAAGTAGATTAACTCAATAAAAAGGAAGCATGGCCTTTAGTTTGAAAAACCCAAGTTGAATTTTTAATGATAGGAATTTTTGAAGTTCATTAATTCACAAGTTCACCAATAGTTGAAAGTGACTTTAATGAACACAACAATAATAAAGGTCATGGCTAATGCCATGGGAACTATATTGTACCTATCAGAACTATAGGATGCTGAGTTCGATGGAATTTTGGCCCAATATAGAACGGCCTTTTTTGTTCCTAAATTTCATTTTAGTAGTTCACAGTTTTGGATCCTCTAAATAAGTGGTCACCAACATTTTCCAAACTGCAGACCAGTTGGGGGTCGGGGTCTGTGCACAGGGGGGTGTCTGTCCAGTACTGGGCCATGGCCTTGGCAGGACTGAGCCGTGGAGACAGATCTGGCAGTGGCTGGGTGTCCTTGCAGGTGGGCGGGGTGCATGCTTGCACATGTGTGGGTGGGAGGGGCATTCTCGTGGGTGGGCAGGGTGCACTTGTACGCATGCGTGGATGGGCGGGGCACACTTGCGGGTCGGACACTCGCACATGTATGGGTGGGCGGGACATGCTTGCAGGTGGGTGGGTGCGCTCGCATGCATGTGAGGATGGGTGTGCACGTGTGGGTGGCGGAGCACCCATGTATGCGGGTGGGTGGGCTGTGCGTGCATCTGGGCGTGCGTGGGGAGTGCATGCGGGGGCCGCAGATCGGGGTTGGGGACCCTTGCTCTAAATGATCTGATTTCTGAAGCACTAGCCAGCAAGACAAAATGTAAGGGTCCTAGAATCCAAAACTGAGGTTTAAAACCACCAAATTATTAGGAAATCTACTGGAAAACAGTGCTCTTTAAATACTACTGTCATTTACCTGTGAGTTCCCTTTTAATGTTAGGAAGGTTTGCAGGGCAGGAGTTGCTGATGTTGAGTCCTGGGGGAGGCATGCCTTGGTTGCCATAAAGATCTACCAGATTGCCAGAGACAGGTAACTGGAAAAAATAACAGAGGATATAAATTATTTCCTATATTCCAAGCAAAACCCCTTGATGCAAAAGGCCAAATCAATAAACCACGAACATTTGGTACCCTTGCGCACCGGGGTCATAGAAATTCAGTTCTATGAAGTCTGATTACATGGAGAGGGCTCAGAAGCTGCAACTGGTCCAGAAGGCAGCCAAGAGGATTATAAGAGGCGTGGGTTGTTCAGAAAGCAATTTTAAAACTTCCAGTTGGTTTTTGGGTCCTAATTAAAGTTTTTGGTTTTTTTAGGCAACAAGCCACATCATTAAGCTGTGGACCACCTCAGGACTGAAAACGGCTGTTTCAGTCATTTTTTGAAAGAAAAGAAGAGAAAATAGGAAGTGCAAACTTATTTTGTTGCACATAGGAACTTTTGGGGACCCCTCACAGACTCCCAAAACAAATCCCCTGCTCCCGAAAGCCTCTAATAGCAAACACAGAGCTCTTTTTTAACAGCATCAAATTTGATTTTTAAATAGGTGCCTCTTGAGTGGCCTTGTGGAGCATTAAAATAGCCCTAGTGGGTTGTGAGGTGGGTGGTGCGCATGTTGCCCAGTCTTGCTATATACACTCTTGAGACCAGAATATTTTAATGAATGTGTTCTCTTGTATGAGCCTACTGTGCAACAGAAGGCGAGAGGGATGCCCCACTCGGTGGGGAGCCGTCCCTCCCCCACAACAAGAATAAGGAGGAGAGTCCCCAGCCAGGACCAGAACCTGCGGCAGAAGCTCAGCAAGGGACAGAAATAGAGGAGTTGACTGAGAGCTTGCAGGGTGTGACAATGAGAGAGGACCAGGAGGAAATGGCGGGAAAAGAGAGGAAGGAGAGGCTGGAGTCTGAGGCAGGAACAGGGGAGGTAGAAAGGAAGGAGAGTCAGTTGCCGCCAGGCTGAGAATGGATGTGGATGGAGGATCCCTGGACAGGATTATGAGGGAGGCTGAGAGTGCCTAAAGAAGAGGAGGATTACAGAAGAAGAAGAGAGATTCCCCCTAGACCCTCTTATTGGGGAGAAGCCAAGGAGAGAGTGGAGGAGGAGGTTGAGAGAAGAGAAGGAAAGAGTAGAGAGAGAAAGGAGAGAAAGGCTAGACTGGAGAATAAGAGATATGAGGAAAAAGAACTACAGGGAGGACCCTGGGAGGATTGAGAGCCCAAGCGATAAACCCTGTGGAATGGCAATCAGGAAGATGAGACCGTGCCCTTTCTGGAAGGTTCGACGGGGCAGGCCGTGAAAGACTGGGTCTCTGTTGATTTACTGGGATCATGGAACAATAGTTATGGCAACCCATTCCCCTTAGAAGATTGGAGACCCCTTCTGGACCCATTGGCAAAATGAGAAAAGACTCATAATCATGTCACAGACACTTGTTTATTGTTAAATGCACCAATAAATCTTTCACCTGTTCTGAAGCAACAAAAGTCTACTTATTTCTTTGAGGAGCCTAAAGCCAAACCCTCACACCTAGTTATACACTAGCATCATCTTTTGAGGTCTTGTTTCAAGTAGTCGTGTCTTCTGAGATGTGATGGCTGAAGTGAGACATTTTCATCAAGACTACAGAATTCTAATATTCAGAATATTTATTTTCCTTCATATTTTTTGGTGTTGAGGCACAAATAATGTCACTACTACCTAGAGCTGATCCAGTGAATTCATTTCAGTAGGTCTACTGTAGATAGGACTGAGACTGGATTTCAGCCCCAAACATTTTTTTGTAGATTATTTGTGCTAAATTTTTTATTTTTAGGTTGAGTGTTGTTGCTTACTTTTATACAAGTTTAATAGTATGTGTTAATAATTTCTGTTTTTTAAACATGCAACATTGCTTTTACTGCTACCAACATGAATTTTAGTACATGACCTAACTCCGGGAGGCAGTAGAAGACAGAGGGCCTGGCCTGCTCTGGTCCATGGGGTCACAAAGAGTCGGACACAACTAAACGACTAAACAACAACAACAACAATTGTTTTTACTATGTATTTCATTTAAGTTAGAAAATATTATTTCCATATTTCTCTGTCTCAGTGTGTTGGCAAGAGCAAAGTATGGGGGAGGGAGTTGGGGGGAAAGGCAATATTATGTGGTACTTTCAAAGACCAACAGATTTTATTTCAGTGTGAACTTTCATGAAAAAATCTATTTCTACACATGCAAGTCCACGAAAACCCACACGTAGGCATATTCACAAGGACTGAAAATGGGGGATGTCATACTTTAAAATCTTGTTTATGATTAATTATATGAGTACAGTAATTGAAATGTGGTTGAACTTCTAAATGTTGTTCTGAAGACAGAGATGGAAAAGAGAAGAATATGTTGCAATATTAGTATTTTCAAAACACTATTTCTGAAAATACTGAAGTGAAAACAAAAACACTATTTCAGAGACTACTGATTTTCAGAGAATTAGAGATTACATAATATTAGCATGATAATCTTTGGTAAGAAGATCTGAATGCTTCGCTAATAAAACAAAATCCGAGAATGCAATCAGTATTTTAGCTTTAAACACTGAGAGCAATAAAGAAATCAATTTTGATGCTCTGTGTAATGCAGATGAAACAGATCCCACTTGTGATCCTGAATTAGAAAAGCTAGTTTGGAAATTTACAGCATCAAACTTAATGCCCCTCACATAAATGACACTTTAACGTTCTTGACAGATTCGTGAATCACAACTGAACACAACTGCCAATGTTGCAAACAGAGACTAATCCTTTGAACAACAGAAGCTTTGTTCTCTCTGTAGATCTATTTATAGGCTGCAAGCAAGTTAATTCTTCTGTTGCAGTTTTGCTTACAGTCAGTTTACAAGCCCTCATATCTTGCTACTGCAAACGATAAGAGGAAGAATGTAAAGAAGTTTGAGTCCAGGAGATGACATTGTTCTTCCAAATTTACCTTAGGTTTTAGTATTTATTTTATTTACTCCTTTTAATATAATAGTTCTTTAATTCTTTTTAATATTATTAGTAAACGTATTGTTTTTGCTTTTAAATATTATCTTTTTAATCATATAAGCCACCTTGGGTCCTTTTTAAGGAGAAAGGTGGAGTAAAACAAATTAAACCAACCAACCAACCACTAAATGCTTTCTGATGCCAATGGATTTAACATTTAGGATCATTTGTGTGTTTCAATTGGATAAACTTAAACTAAGATCTGGCACTGTACGGGAGTCATGCTATACAAACTTACTATATTTTGGGTTTTTCCCCACAGTAAACAGGAAGCTTGCAGAGAGATCCCAAAATCCCTGAAATTTGAGTGCCTACCCTGTGGTTTAATAACGCTTTTGCAACAAAGCATAGGGGAAAGTATAGCTTGCAGCTGCCTCAAGCGTTATCATTATATTAGACCTGAAATTGTTTGGGTCTGCAATCTGTTAGGTAACCTAACAGATTGGTTATCTTTTCTCCCAGAGACAGTACTAATAGACCTGGCCTAGTAACAGTAGGAAACAAGGCTGTGGATTTCAGAAAGGAAACGGTTCCAGACAAGCAAAATAGATCTCTCAATAAAGGAGGTCTTGTGGGAAAGAAAATACTCAAGTCCTGTTAAATAAATAGGCAAACAGTCAACTTGCAATAAACATGGAGTCATTTGTTGCAACTACCAGTAACAGTAGAAGGACATTACAAATAGAGCAAGCTATATACCGTATTTTTCCATGTATAAGACTATACTTTTGTCTAAAATCTTTAGACTAAAAATTGAAGGTTGTCTTATACATGGAAATAAGCTGAGGAGAGAATAAAAACAAGTGGAGGAGAAAGCAGGGATCAAAGTGATCCTGCAGCACCTTGATCCCTTTCCCCCTACACTTGTTAAGCCCCACTTAGATTTCTTAATTTTGGATTATACACAGAAAAATACGGTATGCTAGAATGTTTTGAACTACTGTCATTTGTAAGGAGATTAACTTCTGAAAGACAGATACAGAAAGCAGCAAAAAGCTATACATCCAAGTACCGTATTTGCCATTTGTAGAGCCGGATCCATTAGACCAAACATTTCTTCATTATAACTTGATTCCAAACTGATTATGTCATCAATTACATCATCCATCTGTAACATAAATATGAAACGCATCAGGAACGTGATTGGATTAAAGTATGTTTCTGAACAACGCAAACACCGGAAGGAAATACCTAACAGCAAAATGTCCCAGCTAGCTGGCTATTTCTAATTAGTGGTTTCAGGAATTACCTAATTAATTGAAAGACTTTGGGGGACTAAATATACAGAATCCACCAACCAGTATGGCCATAGCTGGTGGGAAGATTCTTGGCATTTCAGGCCAGCCAGAGAAGAAGTTTTTGCAAATGCTGAACAATCTGGAAGAAGACATGAGGACAGGAAAACCACATACATATTCATTCTCAAAAGCAAACAGACTGTCCCCTGTGGGGAGGTAGGGGCCTCTTGCAATGGGAAGTTCATTACAGCCCTACTTGATGCCAAAGTGAGGAACACCATGTTCATTCCTCGGGCTTTGGGAACAAAAAGC